CCTCAGAGATGGTTGTACGTGAAAATCCCAGGAGATTGGCAGTTTTTGAAATACTCAGACCAGCCCGTCTGGCACCAACAACCATGCCACGTTCAGAGTCCCCTTTCTTCCCCATTCTGATGCTCCATTTGAACTTCAGCAAGTCGTCTTCACCATGTCTAGATACCTAAATGCATTGAGTTGCTGCCATGTGATTGGCTGATTGGCAATTTGTGTTACCAAGCAATTGACCTAATAAAGTGGCCGGTGAGTGTATGTTTGTTTCAGGAGAAGCACATGCAAGACAAAGATAGATGACACAAACTTCCAAGGAAGGTCATCCATGGTTGGTATTAGACTTCCCAGGAACGCATATAAATGAGGAATATTTCTGTACTGTGTGAGGTAAGTTCTTAAAGACATTGACCACTCCAAGGGTGTTATTCTGATCCCTTTGTTGGCTGCATGCTTGTTCTGGACCAGTGGCCCACCAAGCAATGAAAGACAAATGAGGATGATATTCAAAAACAGATCAACCATGGCAGATCCTATACTTATGAATAGACAGGTGCTCTTCATTCCAACTCAGGGGATGAAACCTTCAAAATGACTGTATCTAAATATCATCCTGCGATTTATCTAACTGCAATGAATGCGTGCTTGTGTATTCCCTGGTTCTTGCCCCTGCCCTCTGGAGCCCCCAGAATGAGAGGCCATACAGCACTGCACTGTGTTGGGGTGGGTCGCTTTGGATTAGGGGAGCCTTCATAAGAAGTCAAGAGAATGTCAAATGTGGAGACTCCATTGCTTGACTGGTAAAACGAATGTGAACACATCCAATGGATTTCGGGAGCCTGGAGGTCAAACGGTTCAGAGCAATGACTACCTAAAAACTCCTAAGATCCACAGCCCATCGTCAGAACTAACACACCCAGCCACCATCTGGACCTCTACTAGTTTATGTCCGAGGGACATGAAGAAGGGCGTGTTAAAGACAAAAAAATGCGCAGCTGTATTCAAGTTAATTTTCAAAGCAAAGTTGATTCTTCACTTTTTAAAGTCTTTCGACTACTTATACTATATTGACTACAGTTCTTCTGCACCTGACCATCACACCTACCTACCTTATAGGGCTGGACATTTGTGGACCTCCCCCTCCAAATGATGGAGTTCTAGTGTCTCCAGTGAAATTAATACTACATCATGTAAGAGACATTTTAGATAATTGTGCTCTTCCAACCTTGTGGTAACAGTTCGGGGAAGACCCCTTTCTGATCCAGCATGACTTCTGTGTACAAAGCCAAAGCAGCTCCATAACGACATGGTCTGACCAAGCTGGTGTGGAGGAACTTGAGTGTCCTGCACAGAGCCGTTACCTCAACCCTGAACACCGATGGCGAGCCAGGTCTTCTCATTCAACATCAACACCTGACCTCATACATGGGCGTAAATTCCCACATACACTATCTAAATCTGGTGGAGAGTCTTCTCAGAAGATTGGAAGATGTTATAGCCACAAGGGAGGGGCATCTCCATATTATTGATTATGGTTTTGGAATAGGGAGGCAACTCCATATTAATGGCTGTGGTTTTGGAATAGGATTCCCAACAGATCAACCTTGTGGTAACAGTTTGAGGAAGGCCCTTTTCTGATCCAGCATGACTGTGCCCCTGTGTACAAAGCCAGCTCCATAACGACATGGTCTGACCAAGCTGGTGTGGAGAAACTCGAGTGTCCTCCACAGAGCCCTTACCTCAACCCTGAACACCAATGGCGAGCCAGGTCTTCTCATTCAACATCAGCACCTGACCTCATACATGGGCGCAAATTTCCACATACACCATCTAAATCTGGTAGAGAGTCTTCCCAGAAGAGTGGAGGATGTTATAACCACAAGGGAGGGGCATCTCCAAATTAATGATTATGGTTTTGGAATAGGGAGGCAACTTCATATCAATGGCTGTGGTTTTGGAAGAGGATTCCCAACAGATCAACCTTGTGATAACAGTTTGAGGAAGGCCCTTTTCTGTTCCATCATGACTGTGCCCCTGTGTACAAAGCCAGCTCCAGACATGATTTGACCGGTCTTGTGTGGAGGAGCTCAAGTGTCCTGCACAGAGCCCTGACCTTAACCCTATTGAATATCTTTGGGATGAATAGAAATACTGATTGTTAGCCAGGTCTTCTCATCCAGTACCTGCCCTCACAAAAGGGCACAAATGACAATATCTTGTGGAGAGCCTTCCCAGAAGGGTGGAGGTTGTTATAGCCACAAAGGAGGGACAACTACATATTACTGGCCATGGTTTTGGAATAGGATGCCCAACAGATCAGTTTTGAGAAGGCTATTTGCTATTCCATCAAGACTCTGCCCCTTGTGCACAAAGGCATCTCCATAAAGATATGACCAGTTTGGTGTGGAGGAACTCGAGTGTTCTGCACAGAGCCCTGATCTCAACCCTACTGAACACCTTTGGGATGAATTGGAACTCTTATTGTGAGTCAAGTCTTCTCATCCAACACCTCACAAATAGGCACATATTCCAACATTTTGTGGAGAGCCTTCCCAGAAGAGTTGAGGTTGTTATAGACACAAAAGCTGGCATCTCCAAATTAAAGGCGGCCAAGGTGTTGGAATTGGATGTCTAAAAAGATCATATAGGTGTGCTGGTCAGATGTCCACAGGTAAAAGGAGGCCACATGTATTGCATGCTACTAACCCAACAACATCTAAACTAAGCCCTGTGAAGGACCTATTACTTTGGGGTTTCCAAGATTTGAACAACCACAGAAAACATCTGTTACACAAAATTTTTCCCACTCACGTCAGAACCAACAAATACAAATTCAAAACTTTCCCCTTAAGTCCATCACAAAGCTGATACTTCCAATAGATGTCACATGGCGGACACAGGAGCTGCTTCCTGCCTCTCAGATGGCAGAAGTTTAGCCTGACTGTCCTGGAACGTATGTGTGGCTGGAGAATCAAAGGTTTCTCTCACATGTAGTTTGGTTTACAATTGCAGACACAGCTTGGTCCTTGCTCAGGGATCCAGAAGCTCCACAGTGCAATAGAGCGTGACATGTTCCCACAAGTAGGACATAGCAGTTCTGCATCATGTTAAACCGCAAACGGTGTTTAGACTCTGGATCGCTTCCAAGAGTTGAGGATGGAGTTTTGGGGGGTCTCCTGGCACACGGGATCACTTTCTGTTTCCATTGTCTGCAGCTCTGACAGTTAAAATTTAGGACACAATAAACAGGCTGCGGACTTCTAGGAAAATCCATCAGCAGAACTGAAAGGAGAGGTGGCTGCTGAGAGGAGTCTGTAGGCGCTCTGAAGCTCAAGTGTCATGCACATACATGGGAATTTTTTGAGGTGCCCAAGCTGAAGATTTTTCAGTGGGCGATGAGGGAACGGTGGTCAATAAAGGTGGGTGATTGAAGGGGGGCATAGTCAGTGGTGGCCGATGAAGGCGGGTGAAGGATGAAGGAAGGGTGTGGTCAGTGGTGGTCGAGGAAGATGGATAGATGATGTAGAAAGGGGCCGTGGTCAGTGGTGGTCAAGGAAGGTGGGTAGGAAGAGACAGGGATAAAAAAAAGCCCACTTATAGGTGGCATAGTCAGTGGTGGTCGATGAAGTCGGGTGAAGGATGAAGGAAGGGTGTGGTCAGTGGTGGTCGAGGAAGATGGATAGGTGATGTAGAAAGGGGCCGTGGTCAGTGGTGGTCAAGGAAGGTGGGTAGGAAGGGACAGGGATAAAAAAAAAGCCCACTTATAGGTGGCATAGTCAGTGGTGGTCGATGAAGTCGGGTGAAGGATGAAGGAAGGGTGTGGTCAGTGGTGGTCGAGGAAGATGGATAGATGATGTAGAAAGGGGCCATGGTCAGTGGTGGCCAAGGAAGGTGGGTAGGAAGAGACGGGATTAAAAAAAGCCTACTTATAGTTTAATTGGCAGAGGCGCCCAATGTGGTTGTTCAATTGATAGGCATGAATTGTCTAGTATCAGCTGGTATTGTGCTCCACTTGGGAAATGTTCTTTATTGGCCACATGTAGCTACATGTGATCCACCTAGATGACATCACTTCCAGAAACTCTACACTCCACCTAGTGGTCAATAAATAATATTTAGATGACTAATTTAGATGACTAATTATATGAACAACCACATCGGGCGCCTCTGCCAATCGAACTATGAACGGGCTTTACCGGAGACCCCTGGTCAGCTCCTCAGGATTCTTTGGTCCACAATTTACCATCACAGTCCAGAGGTGGGTGGATGATGAAGAAGAAGATGCAATTGCAGCACACGCCTGTTCCTCACTGTTGTGGCTGTATTTGCTTTGTGTCTCCTTTCTCCACAGTTCTGTTCTGGTGGAGAATGCGAGCAAGAGTAGGCAGCAGTCTTGAGGAGGGATTCCCGGACAAGCCTCCACCACACCTCCACTTCCATCACAATATGCACCCCCCCCCCTTATGACCTGTATGATGTTGCTATGTTCCTCACTGTTGTGGCTGTATTTGCTTTGCGTTTCCTTTCTCCACAGCTCTGTTCTGGTGGAGAATGCGGGCAAGAATAGGCAGCAGTCTTGAGGAGGGATTCCCGGACGAGCCTCCACCACACCTCCACTACCATCACAATATGCATCCCCCCCCCTTATGACCTGTATGATGTTGCTATGTTCCTCACTGTTGTGGCTGTATTTGCTTTGTGTCTCCTTTCTCAACAGCTCTGTTCTGGTGGAGAATGCGGGCAGGAGTAGGCAGCAGTCTTGAGGAGGGATCCCTGGACGAGCCTCCACCACACCTCCACTTCCATCACAATATGCACCCCCCCCATGACCTGTATGATGTTGCTATGTGAAGTATGTACGACAACCTGGCATGAGCTATGCAGTGGAAACCATGGCTCAGTAGTTTGTACAACCTCAAGGCAACCATCTGTATCCCGAGCAGACATTGATCACACAGGAAATAAAGTTGATATATATATATATATATACATTATAGGTTCACTTACAATTTGAAGTGATGCATCAGGATCCCCACCAGTTCTCCTACGCGGCTTTCTCCATCTAGCTCTGACTTCTGCATGCAGAACACCATGTCGTCGTGTTTCTGTGTGTGCAGGACAATCAGCTGGTCCTGTCCGCTGGTCAGGCTCAGTCCAGTGATCTACAAATGGAAGAAACGATGGTGAGGACAACACAACACAGCCACCCTATGGACTTTTTAGCTCATAAAACACCTCAAGCTGCAATTTTATTTGAGAAATTAAAATGCTAAATCTGACCTGCGGCTTCCCCCACATGGAAGAAAAATATATTTGAAACATATTTTAAAAATATTCTTCCCAAATATATTGCCATATGTGACGGAAGCGTAGGCAGGACATAGCACACGGAGAAGATGGGGAACACACAAAGCTTTATTGAAACAACAAAATGACAGACACTCAATGGGGAAATGGCAGGGAGGGTGATGTGTGCGCAAACTAGGGACGATTCCAGGCACGGGGGTCTTCTCCAGCAGGGTAGCTTGTGCGGTCTTCCCCCCTTTGGACGCCTCAGCTCAGCTCCCTCCGTGACTGGCAACCTACCCCTGGGCAGGGGTCTCGGACAACAGGCAGGCAAGCTCCCCCCTGGCTTGGGGGGTCCCAGGCAGAGCCGGGTCACGAGGGTCCCGCCTCAGCTGAGCTCCCTCCTTGACTCCACAGTGGATTGGAGACTCGGGCAACAGGCGGGCAACTTACCCCTGGGCAGCGGTCTCGGGCAACAGGCAGGCAAGCTCCCCCCTAGGCTTGGGGGGTCCCCAGGCAGAGCTGGGTCATGAGGGTCCCGCCTCAGCTGAGCTCCCTCCGTGACTGGACAGCGGATTGGAGTCTCGGGCAACAGGTGGGAAACCTACCCCTGGGCAGGGGTCTCGGGGACTCAACGGGACTCTAGCTGTGGAGTCTGGCCTAGCACAGCTCCCACCCAGCTTTCAGGACACAGGTAGTCTGTGCACACAGCAGGGACAGTTCAGGACATGGGTAGTCTGTGTGTGCACAACAGGGACAGTTTAGGACACGGGGAGGACACTCACAGTAGGCGACTTGCAGATGCTCAGCAGCAGGTGGCTTCCAGGGAGGTGGGCGACTTGTGGACGCTCGACAGCAGGCAGCTTCCAGGGACCCTCACAGCAGCCGGCTCCTCCAGGGGCCTAGCGATCAGCAGCAGGGGCCCTCATGGCGGCCGGCTCCTCCAGGGGCCCAGTGATCAGAAGGCAGGGGCCCTCACAGCGGTCGGCTTCTCCAGGGGCCTAGCGACCAGCAGGCAGGGGCCCTCACAGCGACCAGCTTCTCCAAGGGCCCAGCGATCAGAAGGCAGGGAACCTCACAGCGGCCGGCTTCTCCAGGGCCCAGTGACCAGCAGGCATGGGCTTTCACAGTGGCCAGGAACAGCTGCGGGGGTAGCATGGCCGCGGGGTCTGACCTTGGAAAAGGGGCTCATACAGAGC